CCACCGCCCGGCCCTGGCGAGGGAAAGCAGCGGGCGCTCCCCAGGCGGCAGCCGTCTCTCTGTCTGACAGCCTCAGCCGAATCTCTGCCTCCCAGTGCGCTTGGATCCCACCAGAATGGGTGAAGACAAAATATTTGGGCTGTAGATATTTTGGAAGAAGGGGAATGTGTGGGGATGAGTGGGAAAGTGTAGCTATCTGTTTAACATTTTTAAAGTGAAGAGCAGTGTTTCTCAATTTTAAGAAGTCCGGAATGCTGTCTGGGTAATTTTGGGAGTTGAAGTCCACATAATCTTAAAATTGCTGGAGTTGAAAACACTGGATAGGCAAAGGGTTTCTTTGCACTTACATATGTTTAGTGCAATCCCTACTATATATATATGACAAATCTTTAAAATGAGTGGACTTGGACTCTCTGAATTCTCTGCACACCTTACAATTGTTGAGATTGTGGAAAGCTGAAGACCATATGGGAGATCAAACCCATCCTAAATGTAAAATCTGAATTGCAGATTACTACCTTACAAAATGCTTTTGGAGAAAACATATATGTTGGCAAACATAGATTTTTGTTTGATCATGAATAACTGAATCATGATGACTTTATTGGTTAATTTTGGTGAGTTGATAGTGTAACAGTAAAAAAAAATAAAATAAAAATAATTAATAAATAAATAAATAAATAAATAACCCTAACCGGTCCTTGAAAAAGTGTTTCTACGTGAAACTGGTCCCTGGTACAAAAAAGGTTGGGGACCACTGCTGTAGGCAACAAAGGAAAAACGGTGTAGTGTCAGTCATAAGAGGTGACATTTACATCCAAGGGACTCGTCCTTCTGAAATCTCCAGAGAAAGAGGGAAACCAAACTCCTACAGTAGGCTAACGAAATATTGAAGAAACAGACCATGCAAGTGACAGCAGTTAAACGTTTAATAGGGGGGGAGTCAGCAATGAAACCAAAAATTGGACATTACTTAAAGTTAATTCACCAAGCTTAGAAAATTCCCTACATAAGTTGACAGATTTATAGGGAAACATCTTGGTTATAAATTAATTTAAGGCTTTATATGAAAAAAAATATAGGTGCTATCTGACCGTCTATGAATAAATTCAACCCTTCAATACTATGCCGATCTTACCTATGCCTTGAACTATAGAGAACAAACTTTTGAAATCAGGCATTAAGAAAACTCTAATTAAAAGTTTATTCAGTGATGAATCGGCTGTTCCTGAGCCAAACTTGAACTCTGAAGGTATTTAATCCTTAGTTTGCTCTATTTGCTTTTTATTTCTAACTAGCTGATAACCCGGCATTGCCCAGGTATTTATTTATCCCAATCCTGTATTAGACAGGGAAATCCTGCAGTTGGGCCTAACATTCTTATACTGTCTCTGAGGTTCTAGATGTAGTAGCTCTCTAGCACAGTGTCACAAGTCAGAGGGAGCCTCCTTGTGGAGTACTGTGAAGCCGTTACCATGGCAACAGAAGTCATTTTAAGGCACACACACACACACACCAAAGGGTGTTAGGGGTGCTTTACCACCACAGTATTTATTTTCATCTGTCTACCACGTTTGTTTGAAATTGTTCGAGGCGTTCCAGAGTTATGCTTGAACACATACACACAAACACACACACACACACACAAACACACACAGAGTGATTTTTATACAGATTCTGAAACCAGACTTGACATAATTCCTTCTACCTCTTGCATTGTTAATTGAAACAATGCTTCTGAATATGCCTCCCTCTACTCCAATTAATAGCTATCTGTATACTACTAAAGCTCTTGTGTCTGTTTGCTTTGTAACCTTCAATAGAGCAAAACTGGATGGTTCAGGGCAAGAATTGTTGAACCAATGTAATTCAAATCACTAACTGACATAATTCTGGGACAACGACATTTGTGAAAGTTGTTGCTGCTTCAGCTCCACTGCACTGCTGTTGTTCAACACAGCTGCCACACTGACAAGGTCAATTGCAGTCACCTGACCCTAGTTTGCAAAATTCCCTGACCGTTTCTCACATATTGATGGGAAAGCCAGAAGAAACCAATAGGGTAGCCGATGCTCCATTGCTCCTTGCCACCTTCTCCTCTTGCAAAATCTTTGCTTGTGAGAGGGGAACTATAATAGTTATCTGGTAGTTTCCCTGTTTAAAGGGACCTGACAGCCATATCCTCATTAAGCATGCCTCTCATTTCGGTATATATAAATAGATATTCTCACTCACTCATAATCCAATTAATTTATAATAAATATGATGATCAGGAGAGCACACTTAACACTTGTCTTTCTGATACATGCCAGGAAATTTGAATTATATACTTGCTTTTTTCTATTTTTTGTTCCAGTTCATTGCTGTTAGCCATTTTAACAAGTAGGCCATTGCTGAACACATCTTGCCGTGTATATAAAATGGTCTTGGTTTAAACTAGAGATGCGCAGAACCTCCTGAGGAATGCTGGCAGCCTTAGCAAAGCTTGGTTTGGCTGTTTGACATTCCTCTGATATTTCATCCAAACAGCAGTCTCCCATTTGCTCTGAAATTTTGCCATCAGTGAAATTTTGTGTGAAAGATAAAGTACTGGTTAATACTAATTAATATTATTTTAAAAATTGAAGGTGATATAACTACAATGAAGCATCAGCGGCAGATTTTTTTTTCTGAGAGAGCCAAAAACCTAACAGTTGCTGCACTTCCCTTAAGTCAGGGATTTATACAGGAAGAATGTTATCACATAGAGAAACATATTAATCTAAATCTGAACTAGGTTGATTCAGACTAATTTTTCTATGGTACCAGTGATCTTCCGGAGTATACTCCAGCTTGTAATAGATTAAATACATAGCATGCTGACAAACTTTTGTTCATTGCTAAATGAAAAGGGAGTTTAAGTATTTCCTCCTAACGTATTAAAATAATTCTATCCTGTACGTGATTTTAAAAAGAAACTCATTAAAAAAAATTCTGGGAAAAGAAGCAGGGTTTTCTTTTCCTTTTTCACATCAAAAGGCTGGAATGAAAGCCAAAATATGGTATTTGTAAAAATTTCAGTCAAAACGGTTCCTTTCCTGCATGCTTTTACCAATGATCTTTCTTATTGTCTTTTTCTCTCTCTCAAAAAAAAATATTCATGATCTCGGAGGTTTCATTAAATCTAGGGAAGCCAATACATAACCTTCTCTGGAATGTTTGGATCCAACTCCTATAATCCCCAATTAAGAGCTGTGATAATGAAAGTTGAGAAACCCATATTTTTGGAGGGTGCTTGTGAAATAGTCAAGGAAAGGGCAAGCTTCCCCCTTCCAAATGTTTTGCAGCACAAATCCCATAATCCTGATCGGCACTTGCAATGAAAAAGATCTATGAATCTTATTGCAGTCCAGAATAGCTGGAAGACATCAGATTACACCTGAAATAAAGTGTTCCTAGCATTCTGAACACAGAAGTGGGATTCTACTGGTTCGGCCCGGTTCCATAGAACTGGTTGTTACAGTTCCCAGTAATTTGGAGAACTGGTAAAAACGGGCCCCTGGCTAGTCTCACCCCTCTCCACCCGCTCCTCCGTTTCCTGCCGAGTCAATCCTTATTGTGCATGTGCAACATCACGCACATGCACGACAATCACTAATGGCATTCTCCCCCCGCCCGCCCCGGCCCGCCCCTCCTTATAGCGCATGTGCGCTACATCACTTCCTGTTATGTTTCACCTGTAACCACAAATGAGAGTCCAAATGTCGCACAGCAACAAACACGAACGAATGAATTTCAGACACCACAGAGTTAACCCCTCTCTGTAAATGTCGTTGGCAGCTCTCCTAGAAACTGTCTTTGAACCAAAATAATGAATCACTGGATGATTCAGAGTCAAAAGGGCAAACAGAAGAGGTCTTCCACGCTACGAGGTAATTAACAAGTTGATCCGGACAAGGGCTGTTAACTAACACGCCTCCTTATATTTCTTGAAGGGCATGTCAGTCTCTCTAATTAGTCTCTGACTTGACGTTTCTTTTCAAATTGTGCTTGACGTCTCAACCTGCGTCTAGTCCTTGCATCAAGCCAACATTCGTCATCACTCAAGGACTCTGGTAAGTTCTGGGGGCCAGCTGCTGGCACCTGAGGCATGATTGATGTGGAAGGTTCAGAAGAGGATGGCGTTTCCGACACTCCCTCATCCTCCTGGCTCACGTCTGCATCTCTCATTAGAGCAGGCTCCAATTCCAATGCCAAACCTTCCTCATCACTCAAACCTGTGTCTTCTGATACATCAGACTCAAAACTCACAGCAGGCTCAAACCTTCCAGTCACAACAACTTCCCATATTTTCCTGCCCACTGCCATCGCTTCCAGCAGCAGCAGCAGCAGCAGCAGCAGCAGCAGCAGCAGCAGCAGCAGCCAGCCAGCCATCTATCCATCCACCCATCCACCCAGCCAGCCAGCCAGCCTTCTACCATCTGATCTCCCTAGGTGAGTGAGGCTCTGAAAGCCCTGGTTGCCTACGTGCCATTGCTGCTGACAAGGAATTTGTCTTGGTGCAAATGTTCTCTATATACATAAAAGATGCATTTGTCAAGAGTCAAGAATCATAAGGTACAACACTTAATAATAGTCATAGGGTACAATAAGCAATCAAATCATACTAGCAAACAATCCATATAAATTGTAAGGATACAAGCGACAAAGTTACAGGCATACAGTCACAAGTAGGAGGGGATAAGGAGTGGTGAGAAAATTAATAATAATAGTAGTGCAGACTTTGTAAATAGTTGGACAGTGTTGAGGGAATTATTTGTTTAGCAGTGATGGCATTTTTTTTCTGCAGTCCTAATTATCCTCTGAAGTCTGTGTCTGTCCTGTTGGGTTGCAGAACCAAACCAGACAGTTATAGAGGTACAGATGATAGACTCAATAATTTCTCTGTAGAACTGTATCAGCAGCTTCTTGAGCTTCTTTCACTGTCTTGCGCTGCGGCTGCAACTACAGAGCATCCCGTTTCCCAGCCCCTCCCTTCGGTACCACCCGGCGGCTCCGATCTACTACTGTGGCCATGCCAGAGCAGGCCATCTCCTTCGCCAAGGACTTCCTTGTGAGTGTCGTCTCTGTGGCCATCAGCAAAACGGCAGTGGCTCCCATCGAGCGGATCAAGCTCTTGCTTCAGGTGCAACGTGCAAGTAAACAAATTGCTGTTGATCAACAATACAAAGGAATCATTGATTGTGTTGTCCGCATTCCCAAAGAGCAAGGAATATTGTCCTTCTGGCGTGGAAATTTAGCCAATGTTATGAGATACTTCCCAACTCAGGCACTCAACTTTGCCTTCAAGGATAAGTATAAGCAAGTGTTTTTAGGAGTAGACAAGCACACACAGTTCTGGAGATATTTTGCTGGTAACCTGGCCTCGGTTGGTGCAGCTGGAGCTACCACCCTCTGCTTTGTCTATCCTTTGGATTTCGTGAGAACCTGCTTGGCAGCTGATGTTGGAAAATCTGGTGCTGACAGGGAATTCACAGGGCTGGGAAATTGCCTCATCAAAATCTTCAGGTCTGATGGCCTGCGTGGCTTATATCGAGGCTTCAATGTCTCTGTCCAGGGCATAATCATCTATAGAGCTGCTTATTTTGGAATCTATGATACAGCAAAAGGTATGTTGCCAGATCCTAGGAATACTCATATGGTGATAAACTGGATGATTGCACAAACAGTGACTTCAGTAGCTGGCATGGTCTCCTATCTCAGTTTCTGAGTTGGCGCAGAAAGAACATTCTTTGTTGTGCTTTTTTGATGACGTTTTTGATGTTAGGTGTCCATTTTAGGTGATGTGATATAGTAGAACCTAGAAATTTGAAGGTCTCTACTGTTGATACTGTGTTGTCTAGTATTATAAGAGGTGGTAGTATGGGAGTATAATGTCATCCCTATCTAATTTCTCCTTATGCAGCTTCTTATTGGCTATATTCACATGTGATCTAATCTGCTAATTATCTTCAGCATTTTCTTCAGTCATATGCTCTAACCTCTTCTCACACTTAGAAATCTTTTACATCCGTGTTTGTGGCATGAAAAATTCAGGTATTTCATAGTTCATTACTGTCTATATACTATAAAAAAAAATTTCATCTTGTGAACCTCTGACTCTTTTTTGCTTTCACATACCCTTTCTAGGATGTTCTCTTATCATTCCTCTTCTGTCATCCAGCTTACATAGTGAGCCCGGAGGTAAAAAATTATCTTTCTTTTTAGAAAAGTATTCTGGAGTGCTAGTAATTTTAAGCTCTATAAAAATAAAACATGATGTTCTGATCTTTAATGCATAATTTTATAAATCAGCTATAGCATAGCTTGCCAGAATATGCTATTTGATGCAGTTTGATATGGATATGCCACATGTCATTTCTATAACTTTATGCACATTGAGGATTTTTTTATAAGGTGTTTGCCAATCAACTGAGAAACAAGATCCACAGGTCAGGATAGATTATCATATGTGCTTTATATAAAAGTAACTTCATTAGTTCCTCCCAACTGAGTCAACTTTTCCAACTTCATAGATTTCTGCTTATTAGTTATAACTCATTAATGGTCAGTACACAAGAAAACATTCCAGTTCTAATTACTCAAGCTCTGAAACAGATGTGGGAAGACCACATCTTAGTTTATGAAATTCACCTGATAAGTTTGAGCCAGATATTTTCTCAGCCCAACCTATCTCAGTCATGATTGGAGAAAACTAAGGGAGTATTATGCATGCTTCCTTAAAGTATAAAATATTTGAAAAGCCTGAAATTTGAAAGCTACTCAATGTTCCATATCTTTTCAGTCTCAGCTGATTTCTTTCTTCACATCCAAATCAGAAGTTTATTTATTTGATTTCTGTAGTCACTCAGCTCAACTTTTGCAATGTATTAATGATAACGTGCTTAACATATAAAACTTCCTTGCCACTTCCTTTATGTCTTAAATTCTCCAGTTTAACTAATCCTGTTATTTTTGTATGTATTTATATTTCATATATGGATGAAGGGCATCAGTCATGTTGTAATTTTCCTCACTTTTGAAAAACAAAGAATTAAGCATATAATATCAGGTATTTTGATTTATTTCAGTAAAGTGTTTTGAATCCATTTGATATTCCAGAATTAGACTGTATCCCATGAAGCTAATTCAGATGTAAAAATAATCTTACACTATTTGCCTAAAAGGTTCATTGCAGCAAAGATTTAAAACATGGAATGTTATATTCAAATTATCTCTCTCTGTGTGTGTGTGTGTGTCTTCTCTGCAAACTAGCAGCAAAACTAATCCTTCTTATCCAAAAACTTTCTACAACTCACTTTTGTTTTCAAAACTTGTTTCTACCCTGATGTTCTGGTAATACATGTTTCAGAATAACTTCTCAATTATGTAATTGGCTTGCAGCCTGGGATTTCCAGGAAATGTCGTCTTTACACACATGGAAAACAACAAATGAAAAAGGCTTTTCCAGAATATCCTATATTTCTCATTGCACACTGTATATTTGCAAAGGCATGCTTTTGGATTGCATAGTTGGAGCTCCTATTAGATATTCTGGCTTTTATGAGTAATGCCCCATACAAAGTGCCATTTCTTACCATGAAATTCATACTGGAAGGGAAAGGACGAAGAGTGGAATCACGTATCTTTCAAATCTTCCATATAGCTACCATAGTGACTTTTGTTTCCTGAACAATCTGTGGCAAACACAAAACCAAAAATCGCTCTTGCATGCTGCAAACAAATTTAATGAAGAATAAAGCATTTTCCTCTCCAGTAGCAAATGCTAACGTTGTGCTGTTCATGTCAAAAAAAGTGGGGCTACAGGCATTCACTTATTAATCAGTTGGTACTGCTTCTATTTTTAATTGTAATTAAGCATAGTTTCTGTGAATGCCTCTTGGAGTCTTATACACACAGCACTGTAAAAGAGACTGATTAGACTTGCTTTTCTCCCTAAAGCATAACACTCTTCCGACCCAATTGCATGAAAGCCAATTAGCAAAGATGTTGTTTCTCATGTTCTGGGGACTAAAACTATGATCTGAAAATCAGGCATATAAATATTAATACCTTCAACTTGCTAGCCTGACATTTCACAAATGTGAAACAATAGATCTGACATCTTAGACAAGGCCCTTTCATGCTCTAGGATTGGCTGATGGATTGAGTCTAGGTCAAAATCCAACTAATAATGGCTATTAATATTCTTGCTTTCAAATATACTTTAATGTTTAAAGAATTCCAGACAAGCCACGAATGAAGTTTTCTTGGCCTATAATTTACAAAATAATACAAATGTTCCCACCCACTAGGAGCCAATCATAATAAACTTTCAGGTATTAGACATTCTTGCCTTTTTTCTCCTAAGGTGAGAAATGTAGCTCACATATTTGTTGTACTGGTACTTTAGTGACTGTCTCATTTAGTGACTGATCACAGCTATGATGAAAAGTAACTATGACTAATCCTCAGATATATGATCTTTGCGGGTCTGTAAAGCAAAAGAAAGCTGAAGTAAGATAATAAAGCACATCTGTAGTTTCACTTAGAGATTGCTTTGCTTAGCATCAAAGTGGTTGCTTCCAGTTATGGTTGCTAAATGAGGACAACAGATAGCAGATAATCAGAGTTGGAATGGACCATGTAGGTCGTCTAGTCCAACCCCCGCCCAAGCGGGAGACCCTACACCATTTCTGACAAATGACAGTCCAATCTCTTCTTGAAAATCTCAAGTGATGGCGCTCCCACAGCTTCCAAGGGCAAGCTGTTCCATTGGTTAATTGTTCTCACTGTCACAAAATTTCTCCTTATTTCCAGGTCAAATCTCTCCTTGTCCAGTTTCCATCCATTGTTCCTTGTCTGGCCTACAGGCGCTTTAGAAAATAGCTTGACCCTTCCTTCCTGTGGCAGCCCCTCAAATATTGGAAGACTGCTATCATGTCTCCCCTGGTCCTTCTCTTTACTAGACTAGCCAAGCTCAGTTCCTGCAACTGTTTGTTGTATGTTTTAGCCTCCAGTCCCCTAATCATCCTGGTTGCTCTTCTCTGTACTTTTTCTAGAGTCTCAACATCTTTTTTATAATGTGGTTAACAAAACTGGATGCAGTACTCAAGGTGTGGTCTTACTAAGGCTTTATAGAGTGGTATTAGTACTTCCCTTGATCTTGATTGTATCCCTATTAGTCTATTACTAATGACTATTACATCAATCTGTGTGTGAACTAAGATGAGGTAAAATGGCAGAGAGAAATCAAGAAGTCCAAAGGACAAATCAGCTGCAAAGTTGACTATGATCATTTATTTTCTCCTCGTTCACTTCTACTTCACATGGCTGCTTTATGAACAAAAGCAGACACCATCTTTAGCATAGCAGTATCAAATCCTGAATTGCTGAAGTGAATTCTGAAGTGAGTGCTGAAATGGTGGGGGATCTGGAATCAAGGTGTTGAGAAGGTTCGATAAACCCTTCTCTTAAAGAATTAGAAGCTATCATCCACTAGATGCCACTGGATGTTGATAAATAGAATTCCATGATTCTATGTTAAAGAATTATCTTACAAAGAATATTGAAATATATGTTTTTTTTAAAAAGAATAATCTCTTACTGAGACCTTTCCCCTACATTTTCTCCTTTCAGGGAACATGGCAGCCATTAATTATCAGATTCCTCCGATATTATCAGATTCCCTACCCACACTAAAGGAATGCTGGATGAGAACAGAAATCTTTCTCCACAAAGAAGCAGGATCAAAATTGGGACGCCTATAATTCTTTTTGTATTACAGCTGCCTTCATCCACTTCCATTTTTCCATTCCCATACTGTCATTTCTATAGCAATTTCAGGCACAAGGAAAGCTTTTTGGTGTGTCCAAGGAGTATTATTTCAGCACTGTATTCTCTAATAAGAGGATGCTTTTAGTGTGGGCTTCAAAGAATTCTACCTTCTACCAGCACCAACTGGCTAATTTACAGAAATTGTCCCATAGGAAGAAAAAGAATTTTTAAAAAGCTCTAGAAGGGATGGGAATGATTGTCTCCTGTGGTACTTTCAAAAAAATAGTGGTGTTCAGTTCTCCAGAAAGTAGAGCTTAAAAAGATACAATCACTGTGCAACTAGGACTTTAATATTTGGTTGTTTGTAAAAGCTAAAAGAGCTGTAGGCCAGAAATCCTCAAATTAAAATAATTAATGTTTAACTGAGAGCGAACCACATTACCAAATGTCTGAAGCCTATTTGAAAGAGAAAACGGAGACTGTCTGCATAAATCTAAAATGAGTGTTTGTTTCCCTTTTCCCACTGAGGGAGGAAAAATAAATGCTTTTCCAACACTTCTTTGGAACTTCCATAGTTGCTAGAATTACAGCTGAGAACTAAACCACAACCACATAGTGATCTTCCTCTAGTGGAATAGGTACTCTGAACAGATCAGATCTTCCTTAATCCTATAGCTACTTCTTTTGTCAAGAATGAGAGGACCACTGATCAGATTGAAGGGTGTCCTACCAGTTGTGTGAGTGTACGCACATCATTGAATGTAATTCTTTCTCAGTCTTGCTTTTAATTTTTGTTTTTCTTATTGCCTGCCTGTAAATAGCATCAAAGTTCAATTAAGATGACTGATTTATAAGACTGTTATAGGAACCATATCAACATTGTTTCTATGGATGGGCACAATGAGACTAAAACTTCATATGTTCTTCTAAAATCTCAGCCCATCCATGACTTGG